ATCGGTTAATTAATCTGGAGATTAAGAACAAGAGGAGAACAAGCATTATTTAATCTGGAGATTAAGAAAAAGAGGAAAGATCAAGCATTGATCTCGATATCCACTATTCTAAAGTTTTCAGCTCAGAGCTGAAACTTCTTGTATCGGATACCCCTAATCCTGATTGCTAAATCTCTGTAGACACTTTTGCTTTTAAGCTTAATCCTCTCTTTTGGATATACCTGCAGTCTTCGAACCAAATAGAGTTCTCTCATTGATTGCGCGCCAAAATTTTAAATTTCTCGGCTTCTAATTGGCTGTTCGGGTTCTACAATCAACATTCTGATTGGTTGCAGTTTCGACAATTTCCCGGAATGAATAATTTCAAAGTTTTTAGCTCAGGTTGTTTTTTGTCCTCATTTAAAGTCAATTGATCTCTATTTTTAAACCCAACTTTATTATCCCGCAGCTGCAGATTTTAAGCAGAAATATATTTCTTATTTATATGAATATAATACTTTGAGATGTGAAAATGTTCCTGGTCAAGCCTTAAGTTACGAGAATTTGAGATTGAGCCGGGATTTTTCAATTTTCTACTCTAAATTTTATTTCGATTTAATTTGATAACTTAAAATCCCGCCTCATTTTCAAACTATTGCCTCGACTAGGTATAAATAGTCATAAAATATGTTAAATTTTGCATTATTGTTTGCATATTTTCATTGTTAAAAAGGTTTTTTTTTGTTTTTCCATGTTTTTTAAATGTTGATATGCTTGTTTTTTTCTTTTAAAAATATATGTTTAATATTTAAAGTTGAGTGATATTGAGGCGGAGCTGAAGTACGAGGTGAGGGATAAAGTAAAATAAAAAAGAATAAAAAATAAGAAATAGTAAAAAGATAAAAATTTAATAAAAATAAAGGAACTGTTCACATAATTTCAACAGATTGGGGGGGCAAGCTCGATTCACAACGATACCCTTTCAACCTCTAGAGGAAATAATTTCAATTAGTTGAGGAAATAGCATTTATAAAAATAAAAATAAGAAGGTTAAATGAGGTGTAATCCTCTCCCCCCCCCCACATGAAATCAAACATGTTTTTACTTGTTCAAATTTCTTGTTAGAATGCAGAAAATGTAAAAGGTTTGACTATTAAATATCGGAGAAGAAGTTGGAAAATGGTTTTTTTGCTGAACAGGATGTTTTTAAATGATTAATTTATGCAGCAAACCCTGAAACTTTAAACTGTACACACAGTTGACACTGCAACCCAACGTAGACCTGATATGTTTAAAACTATAAATTTTGTTTGATAAATAAATTAAGTTTTAAATTTTAGTTTATGCCCAAACCATAAGCTGAATTTTAATGGGTAAAATTAGTTCTTCTGCAATCTTACTAAATGCGTCTTTATATTGGATTATGGGACATTGGGGGAAAAAAATTTAAAAACCCCCATTTAAACTTTCATTAGACTAAAAAATCATACTTATTAATTCACCAATTTTTGTCATTTGAATTGATGGAGATAAGATATAAAATTTGTAATTAAAATACAACAAGTTCTTTAATTACTTATGATTCTGGAATTTTAAAAAGGGCTAAAAATTTTTTTTATAAGAACGTTAAAATAAAAAAGATTACTAAAAGTTTCTAATTTTAAAACATTTTTTTACTTTCTCTTTTAACCATAAACACTAAGGGTGAATAAAAAGTTAAAAATTGAATTTGATTGTAGACTAGCGAAGGCTGAATTGTATTTTGTTTACAAATTCAAGCAAGGTTGCATGCCGTAAATTTGCATAGTAGTGTTTGCATGCATCTAGATATAAACTTTAAAAGCATTATCTATTAATATGGTTGGCCTGTCTGTTTTCTTGGTGTCCAATAAACGTAAAAACGGCTGATGCGATCGAGACAAAAAAATATTTTCTTAATTTCTAAAATTCGCCAATAAATGTTAAGGAATATCTGCAAAATATTTTCTATTTAAAATTACTTTGTTTTGAAAAAATCGAAAGGTTTTAATTTGAAGCTGATACTTTAAATAGATTCTTAATTAATTCTTAATATATGTTGAACTTTTAAAATATATTTCAATTTCAATTCAATTCTTCGCATTTATTTTAGTCAATTTCATAAGAGTATTAAATTTTGAAGTTTTTACTGTAAATCTTATTTTAACTGTTTTTGTAGTTCTTTTGAAAATAATCTTAAATGAAATTGAAAGACAACCCAAGAATTCTTATAAAGAATATTAATTGGTTTGAATTTGTTTGTTATTCAAATTTCTTTCGTTTCAAAAGAAACATTTGTTTTTATTCAGCAGAAATATTTTCAGTAAAATTAACTTTAAAAATTTCTATAGTCACTAATTTTCAGATATTTTAAACAAAAAAATATCTCTAATCTCTAATCTCTATGTTAATATCTAATCTTTAATCTCTAATCTCTAATCTCTAATCTCTAATCTCTAATCTCTAATATTTAATCTCTAATCTTAAATCTTTAATCTCTAATTTATTATCTCTAATCTTGAATCTCTAATCTCTAATCTCTAGGTGCGTGGGTATGAGTTAACAAGGTATCCAGAGGAAATAACTCAAAATATTAATAATAAGGTTCGAATTTAACTATTTATCTATCTATCTATCTATCTATCTATATATCTATTTATAGAATGGTCCAGGATTAGTTCATGAAAAAGAAGAATATAGGTTTGCTGACCCCTGCCCTCCTTCTATGCGGGAGGTAAAATTAAAATAAAAGAAGAAACAAGTTCTTTTGTGAAAAACGTTGACAGACAGTTGACAGACAGTTTGAGGGTCGTCTTTGATTTTTAAAAATATCTCCGGCAATATTGTGTGCACAAACAAAGCAGACCACATTTAGGAAATGCCAGAACTGGGGGGAAATTTTAGATTATTGTTTGAAGAAGCATACTTGTTAAAAAGCAGGTTGACGAATGAATGCCATAAATTATTTCCTAGCTCAAAGACGACCTTCAAGGTGGAACATCCTGTATATTGAAGAATCGTTAACGTTTTTTGTTCAGAGGGCACTGCCTGCTATAATTTCCAGTTTTTCTATATTGTAAAACTGTAGTTTCCTGTTCCAGTTTAATCTTTCTAGACACACAGATGGAATAATTCATTTGGCGTACTGTCACGGTTTGCCTTAAATAATCTGTAATTGTTGTGTACAGCTTGCTTTAGTTGGTAAAAAATCAGCCTTGTACTTGAAATCAACCGGAGTTTAAAGTGTCGTACCGTACCGTCAACTTTTTTAGCGAAAATCACAAAAATTACCGCAACTCTCAAAAGATAGTTAAAGGGACTGTCATGAATATCTGCAGGGGTCACATGTAAAAAACATTAATTTTTTCTTTAGCTTGTTTTTAAAAAATGTCATTTAAATGTTTTTAAACTGAGCACTGAATTATAATTTTCTTTTATTACTACTTTATCAAAACCTGATACAGGGTGTCCCAAAAAACATGGGAATTTAGTGACGAATTCGATATCGTCTTTGTTATGAACTAGCATAGTAAAACCTAATTTCAAAAGCCATAATAGTATTACGTTTGCTAGAGTTTATTTTATAAAAAGGGTAAAAGACTGCAAAAATGTGTCTATATAATGTCTCCGCAAGATGAACAGTGAAGACGGACAAGTTTACTCTGTTTGTATACTGCAATTTTCTTGTTTTACTAAGTACAACCGTATGCAGTCAAAACATAAACAAACAAAATGTGAACATAGCAGACGAAAATCTTACAGATTAAAGCTTTCTCAGTAGGTATCACTATACTAAATCAAAGAATTATTTAAAAAGACGATATCGAATTCGTCACTGAATTCCCATGTTTATTGGGACACCCTGTATTATAGACATTAAAGATTTAAATCTAAGAATTCTATTAAAGGTAGAATTTGATATATCTGAAAGTTTAAGCAATTAAACACATTTTTGGGTGAGAAATAAAGAATGTACGGCAAAATGTGACTAAATTAATTTATTTTATTTTAGGTTCGAATATCAGATTTATCAAGTGTAGATATTAACTGGAAAATGTTAACCCTCTCTCGACCAAAATCTAAAATTGAAGAAAACATATTTTCGAAGGAGCGGAAAAGCATAAAAGATTTATTATTCAGATAGTACAGGGTGTCCGAAAAAACGTCTAAAATAACGAGTTTGAAATTGGGTTTCAGAAATTTCGACAATTTTTAATATCTAACTTAAGCGAGTAAAAACCTTTTAACCCTGAAGACATAATATACTGATATGATTGATTGATTGAATCTAAACAAAGGATTTTTTTTCTTGTTTCTGTCTAAAAAGTGTTGGTTTCACTTACTTTCCTTCAACATTTTTATAAGCACTCATGTACAAGTAACTACTATAGAGGAATCACAACTGAAAAAAAATCAATTTTTAGCTAGAGAGAAAATGATATCTCTGTCAGAGTTACTAAGCTTGTAGATGTTGTGAATCGAAAATTCCAATCTTTAAATGGCGGTTCACTGAAGAAAGTTAAAAAGACATCACAGTCTTTTCAATATTTATATTGATTAGAATATCATTCTTCAGGAACAATTAAGATTTAATAAATACTTTGTGTTTTGAAAAATCAAGAAATGGCATTTATGCACTTTGCAACTGCATTGTAGCGCACAAATGCATTGTCTAAATATTCTCTTCAAACTTAATGCATTTATTTGGAGCTAGTATACTGATTTCACAGATAGGGCATAGAAATATAGAAATATAGAAATATAGGAAATAAACGAAAATTTCTAGATACATTCTATTGATAAATGGTATGATTCAGATAACTATATTTTTTTTTAAACTGTTTGTTATCATTTGAGTCATCTCTTCAAAAATGATTTTCACATTTCTTTTTTTAGAAACAACACAGAACTGATCAGAATTAAACACTTTACAAGCCAGAAAAAAACGATGTGATCTACCAAACTATTGTTTAGAGGTTTTAAGGGTATTGTTGTGAATCAGACATACCTTTATTTTTTTTAATTGAGTGTCACATAAAATTACGACAAGTGAATAAAAAAAGAAACTTTAATTTCTCGATTGAGGGCCTGTGCGAGAGAACTTTAAAATCAAATTATCAACATTTATGCTTTTTCCTTTTTCAGCTTGTGGAACTTGATAAGCTACGACTGGGAACAAGAAAAAAGGTAATTTTGAATTATTATTATTTTGTTAAATGTATTTGGACAGTGAAAACCAAAAAATTCTGGAATAAGAAGACGACTTTAAAACTCAAGTTATGTCTAAAAAGTCCAATGAGCATGATACACATAAATTGTGCGGTGTAAACAGAACAATTTAACTTGATACGTATTCAATAATTTACTAGTAAAGCAACATCAAAAACACTATTCCTCTATTCGTCTATTCCTCTATTCGTCTATTCCTCTATTTCTCTATTACTCTATTCCTCTATTTCTCTATTCGATCCTGTATTGCTCTATTCCTCTATTCCTCTATTCGTCTATTCCTCTATTCGTCTATTCCTCTATTACTCTATTACTCTATTCCTCTATTCCTCTATTCCTCTATTCCTCTATTCCTCTATTCCTCTATTCCTCTATTCCTCTATTTCTCTATTACGCTATTACGCTATTATGCTATTCCTCTATTCCTCTATTCCTCTATTACGCTATTATGCTATTCCTCTATTCCTCTATTCCTCTATTCCTCTATTACGCTATTATGCCATTCCTCTATTCCTCTATTACGCTATTATGCCATTCCTCTATTCCTCTATTACGCTATTATGCCATTCCTCTATTCCTCTATTACGCTAATATGCTATATTCCTCTATTCCTCTATTCCTGTATTCCTCTCTTCATCTATTACGCTATTACCCTATTCCTCTATTCCTCTATTCCTCTATTTCTCAATTCCTCTATTTCTGCATGACTCTCGCTGTTTGTCCAAATTAATTATTTTTAATATAAGCTATTTATAAATTGGGCCATAGGGGGGGGGGGTTATAATAACTCCAAAATTTAAAGAACTCGCATTTGGAGAAGTTTGATATCCACAGATTTAGTTTATACTTTCTACAACCCTTCAAATTGAAGCAAGGGAATTGAGTCTTGGCCACAAAATCTAATTTTCTAATCCCTATATCTTTGCTACCCAATGTTTTAGACATTAGATATTTTAACCTATAAATTATGTTAAATCAAACTATCAAAGCTTAAAATATGAAAGAGATACACCATCCGGTTGCAACGATAAAGGGTTTACAAGAGTTGAGTCTGTGGCTCCAATATAAAATCAACTTGTCTCAATAACTTTCATAAGTTTGGTCTTTTTCTTATGTCTACATTTGATTTCGTATCTAAAGCTAGACTATGGTAACAAATAAGTCTTAGTCGACGTATGTAAAGCCGTGTTTATAATAATAAATGAAAAAAATTGTAAATTAAAAAATGCAAAAACAACTTTTACAACTAGATTTGGTATAATCTAGAAGTTATCTAGCAAAGAGATTACATATGTATAGAGGGGAGTTTATTTAGAATATATCTTGGAAAGGGAGTATCTATGTATTATAGAAGGGAGTATATCTAAAATATATCTAGGAAAGGTAGTATCTATGTATTTTAGAAGGGAGTTTATCTAGAATATATCTAGGAAAGTAGTATCTATCTATTATAGAATGGAGTATATCTAAAATATATCTAGGAAAGGTAGTATCTATGTATTTAGAAGGAAGTATATCTAAAATATATCTAGGAAAGGGAGTACCTATGTATAGAAGGGAGTACATATAGAATATATCCAGGCAAGGTAGTATCTATGTATTATAGAAGGGAGTATATCTAAAATATATCTAGGAAAGGTAGTATCTATTTATTATAGAAGGGAGTATATCTAGAATATATATAGGCAAGGGAGTACCAATGTATAGAAGGGAGTATATATAAAATATATCTATGAAAGGGAGTACCTATATATAGAAGGGAGTATATCTAAAATATATCTAGGATAGGGAGTAGCTATGTATAGAAGGGAGTATATATAGAATATATCTAGGAAAGGTAGTATCTATTTATGGAAGGGAGCATTTCTAGAATATATCTAGGAAATGGAGTACCTGTGTTAGAAGGGAGTATATCTAAAATATATTTAGGAAAGGGAGTACCTATGTATAGAAGGGAGTATATCTAAAATATATCTAGGAAAGGGAGTACCTATGTATAGAAGGGAGTATATCTAAAATATATCTAGGAAAGGGAGACCTATGTATAAAAGGGAGTATATCTAAAATATATCTAGGAAAGGGAGTACCTGGAAAGTGTAGGTGGAAAGGACCCGGACATAATTATAAAAAACCCAAGTGAAAGCAAGGGAGGAGTAGCACAGAAGCTTATTAAGGTAAATAACTTTCTATCTATCTATTTTTTAGGCTATTCTATTATTTTAGGTAATTTTCCAAAGGCATTTTCTCAAGGGCGACTTCCCAATGAACAATCTTTCCAAGAATCAACTTCTTGAATGTGCATGTATGGTTATGTTAGGCCTTCTTATCCGCCTCAGCTGCATGCAATGGGGCTGATCGAACGCTGTGACTAAGGAGGAAAGGCTCGCGCGCTCGGGAAGTTGATGATTTGAAAAATGCCTTTTGGAAAGTATATAACATCTATACTTGTCTATCTATCTTTCTTCCTATCTATTTATCCATCTATTTATCCATCTATGTATCCATCTATTTATCCATCTATTTATCCATTTATGTATCCATCTATTTATCCATTTATATATCCATCTATTTATCCATCTATCTATCTAGTATCTATCTATCTTTCAAACGCTAATAACTCCATTATTTTTAAAGATATCTTAGTTCTCCTAAAAGCTAATGACAATCTATCCTAAAAATCGTTTTCGCATCGAGAAGACCCAGTATCTTACTTTATAAATCTCTTTTTGTCTATTCATTGTTTATCTGTCTGCCTAACTATCCTTCAATCTTATAAATATCTATCCATCTACAAATTTACCATGGATTTGAGTTAATTTTCCAGTTATTGAACTTTGAGAATATTTTCGTTGGGAGAAATATAATTTTCATTTTTCCTTGCATAGAGTCAAAGATCCTGTAACATTTTTTAAAAGGGCCTGTAAGCGTAATTCCAAGTAATCCTCTGTGAAAAAATGCCAATGCCCGATTCACAGCGATACCCTTAAAAGTTTTGAATGAATTAAATATCGATGTAAACTGATTATTTTCAATTGTATACGGTGCAGTGTGCTTATACAATATAGTGATATGCGCTTTTCTACTTCAGAAAAACATATAAGCAATATCTTCCACATTATTAATCAGATAAAGATTCAAGGGTACCGTTGTGAATCAGGCATTTGGCATCTTTGTAAGCAAGGTTACTTGAAACTTCAAGTTTTAGTTTTCAGAAGAAATTGGCAAAATTCTTTACGATTATTGTGTGAGATTTTTGGATCACTGTGTCTTGTCCATTAGAAAATAAAAAAATGTCGACGAATAAAAATTATGATGTGGAGAACAATTAAAATGATTATATAAATAAAAAGTGTTCTAAAAGACTAGTATAATTAGAAATTAGCTTGGGTACCCCGTCACGGCGTTGCCCAGGTCAATACTACTGTTCATATTTATAGTAATTCCCTCCATGAAAAAAAACAATGTCCAGAAACACCGACCAGCCGTTTGATCGTCATCCACCCTACCCTATTAAAGGAGGAGAGGAAGAATATTTGAGGGGGATTGTTTAATATTTATGTTTTTTCATGTAATATTTGCAAAGCATTAGAATTACAAAAAGAAATACAGAAAATTTAAATTAGAATTGTATAATCTGTTTTTTAGTTTCTTTTTCTATAAGATGATTCGGTATAAAGATTTGAACCTCATGCCATAAACCCAACATTCGTTAAAAACTCCGATTTCACTTTTGAGGCGAATAGCACTACGATTAACGGTAAAAGCACTTTGTGTGCCTTTTATACTAATTTATTATCGAGTATTATCGAGTTCCCCTATTGAAGTTTGAGGCAAATCGGGGAAGGTTTTCATGAGGTATGATCATTGATCAAACAAATAATTAAATCAACCGAGAAAACTACTCGATTTTTACTACAGATTCATAAATATTACGTTATGATCAATAAACATATTTGGATTAGATATTTTTTTCATTATAAATTTGAAAACATTTTTCAGGTCTGTATTGAATGCCAAGACGAATTTTGTCATGGGTCTTGTTCAATCTTTCAATATGATTCTTATCAGGTTGGTAGTATGTAGTTGGTAGTAGGTAGTATATATATTCAATAGAAATTAAAAGAAGAAAACAATAATTTTTAATTTTTGAAAAATGTGATTCGGTTCATGATGTTTCTTATTATTTTTGTAAAAAAAGTATGATTGAAAAAAACAGAAAAATGAGTTCAGAATTTAAAGAATAAATTTTATTTAGTAAATGATAATTATTTAAAATTTTTTTTTGACAATTTATGAAAAATTTAAAAAATTTTATCCTTTCTTTAACTGAATGTAAAAAAGAATTAATATCGCTATTTTTAATTAGGGTTGAGGGTTATTTGGTATGGTGCCTACCTAATATTGATAAGTACGGCTATAAATAAACAGAATTTACTAGAAGTACTTATAATTTGTTCGTTCATGTTACTTAAATTAAAGTAACGATCAAGTACACTGTTCATTTAGCAAATCGAACATTTTCTAAGTTGTTGATTAAAAGGGAGGGTTTAAAAAGTTCAAAAAGTACGTCGAAAAAATGTTCAAAAATAGCTATTTTTATTTTTGACAAATATTAACATGTGACACATGTTATTATATCAATTTTTCAAGGGCTTTTCAAATATATAAATTTTGGTCTAGTATCATAATTAATATAAATTAACCATTTCTGATTTTTAGAAACACCGACCAGCCGTTTGATCGTCATCCACCCTACCCTATGTGTAAAGAAAAAATGTATAGCAAAATTTGTTCACACTCTGAAGATGAAAAAGTGAAGTTGTTTTAGCGTTCTAATTTAAGCCCTTTATACGTTATTCAGAAAAAAAATCCTCCAATCGTGATAGGGTTAAAGAACTTAGCCTAGTCCTAAGTGAAGGTATACGAATATCCACAAACGATTGAACTTCAGTGAAGACTGTGCGAAATTTATTTAGCTCTTTTTACAGTCTGTTCTTAATACTGGAAACTTTTATTTTTGGCATTGAGACAAATTATTATTATTCAATTAAACGCTATTTTAAAAGAGACTGTACGCATAATTTCAAGTGAACCTGCTAGTGGCAATGCCAAATTCTTAACGGTACCTTTAAACCTTTATCTGATCAATAATGTGAAAGATATTGTCATTTTCTAGGGTTTAAAATGTTCAATTAAAAATAAGCCTACTTGATCAGACAGAGATTTTAAGGATACGTCATCAGGCATTGACATTTTTGCATAGAGGGTCATTTCAATTTTTTAATCTTCAAGGTAAAGGATTAATTTCAATTTTCAGATAGTTTTTTTGTCGTTGTTTAATATTTTGGTATTAGTACAAAATAAAAACGTTATTCAAGGTTTTGAATATGGAAAATCAAATTGGTATGCTGTTCGATCTTATCGTTTTATGTTCATTTTTAGTTAGCGGAATGCAATTTTGTTGAAACTTAAAGGGAGTGACCGGCTATGTAAGGTAGTTTAACTGAGGACGCAGTGTTGTGGAAAACTTCTTTAGGATTCATTTGAGACATATTTCATATTTCACTTTTCAAAAGTCTGTAAATCCTGAGTTTGAGCGCAAATTCGACGTTCAAAACTCCTGATTTAGGGGTGGATAGGCTTTCAGAATTAGTTTTTTTTTAAATTATTAATTAACGACGACATAAAATGTAAAAATATTCTACAATAAACTACAGACGTCATGTTTAGGAACATTTTGAGAAAATAAAAATTAATCTTATCATCGAAAATAAGTAATCTTGTTCAATTATTAGTTTCTATTATCTCATTATTCTAGTTTCTCGTTATTCACAAAGATGTTCGCAGATTTTCTATAATTATTATTGAAAAGACGACATTTAAAGAATTTGAAGAAATCTGCGAATAAATTCAAAGAAAATTAGAAATTCAATATAATAATGAAAACAAAATAATCGATTTTAGCATTGATTTATTGACAAATTTCTTTTGTGAAATATGTTCCTAGCCATCTAATTAGATTGCTGTAAAATTTTTACTTTATTTTTCGTTGTCGTTATTTAATAATTTAAAAAAAAAATAATTCTGAAAGCGTATCCACCCCCAAATCAGGAGTTTTGAACGTCGAATTTGCGCTCAAACTCAGGATTTACAGATCTTTAAAAAGCGAAATATGTCTCAAATGAATCCTAAAGAAGTTTTCGACAACACTGCATACTTAGTTCAATTACCTTACATAGCCGGTCACTCCCTTTAAGCGGTGCGTCGGTGATTAGGTTTAAAGCTCCTTAGCTCGGACACAAGTTGCAAATACATATACTAACAGGTTTATTTCAAACATGCAAAAATACAGTTTAAGTAAAAAAATATTGTTATATAAAATGTTTAATTGGGTAATTTACTAGTTGTGTGTGTCATGGAAATTAATGAATGATCAGAGGATAATCAGAGGATTTAATGGATCCGTCTAAACATTTGCATCTTACTTCTAAAAATAAAAACCCTTTTGTTTAAGAAGAATTATTATGGATTGAATAATTATTTATTTAATTTTGATAATTATTTTTAATAAGTATTCTTTGTTTTAAGTTCTCCAAGAGGAGGGGGGTGGTAAAGACGACATTGCGTGGGATAAAAGGTAGATTTATGGGAAACAAACTTGTATTTGTTATATTTTTAATCAGAATTATGTCAACTGATTTTTTGAAGTTGTAATTTTTAATCTATATATAAAAATGTTAGCAGCTAACAGTTACAAATAAAAAATCTAACGAATTCATTCCGTTTTTTACTGGTTAGAACTGGTAAGAACTCAATATCTGCTTTGCATTTTTGAAACTTTCAAATAAAAAATGCACTTTTATATGATTAAAAATGTTTATTTAGAAGGTGTTTTGTGTTTACCTTTCTCATTATTATTATATTAAAAGTTAAGTGTTAAATATTTACCTAAACCATCATCTAAAAAACTGAACCTTTAGGACATAAATATTAATTCTTCCTTTTGAAAATTAAAAAAAATTACACTTTTTCAAAGCATAAATAAGTTTTTTTTAGAAGATGTAATTTAAAATAAAAAAATAATTAATTATTTCAACCCTTGGTAAACAAAAAGTGTTTAGTTGTCCCTTGAAAGGCATGCCTACCAGAACTAGTAAAGTTCATGCATATATTCTAAACAAAGATGGCAATACTCAAGGTACTAATGCAAGGAAAGTTAATTGCAGTTGCGTATACTCTGCGTTCATATCGAAACCAGTTCTCTCTGGGCAGAATTTGTATGCATTAGTGTTCGTCTAGTGTCCGAGGAAGATAAAAGCATTTAATTTTGATAATTTTAAAAATTCACATAATAGTTTCCTATGACCAGAATATCTCATAGATTATTTTTGTGAAAATTGATTCCATGTCAGGCTGATGTGATATCCGTCTTGTGTTTACCTTATCGCCCAAAGTACAAAAATGCGTACACCACTAAAATAACTTTCCTTGCATTAGTACCTTGGCAATGCTCCAATCACAATGATACCATTAAAATCTTTGTTTGATCAAGTATGAATCTTAAAAACTAAATATTTTCAATAATGGTTTCTCTACAAAAGTGACTCGCGCATTTCTACTATATTAAAACAAATAAAGGAATTATCAGAAATAAACACATTTAAACCAGAAAACGACAGAACATTCCACATTGATTGGATGGGTTTCAATGGCACCGTTGTGAACAGTTGCATGAAAGGTCCCATTAAACACTAAATGTATAAGCGCAAAACTACTCATATTTTGACGTCTCTTATAACAGAAAAATATTTACAAAATGGCAGTTAAGGAACTTTTTACTTTCAACAAATCTAATTTTTTTCTTTACATTATAAACTTCGAAAAATGTATTGGCGCAGAATTTTTTATAAATTTTTTTATCTTCCATATCTTTGTGTTACAAATATTTATTATTTCAAACTAAAAATAGAATAAAAAAATAGAACGAGGCGAGGGTTTCAAGACAACTATTCAGTTTTCTTATCAACAAATCTAATTGATAATCTAAGTACTATAATTTGGCTGCCTTGTCCAGGTCAAAACAGCTGAACCGATTGGGCCCCATTTTGTGAAGGAAACTCATGGTCACAAGACCGAAGGGAAGAAGGCTTGTGACCGGTAAAATTAGAAAACTGTTGCCCGGGAAAAAATGTCGACGAATAAAAATTATGATGTGGAGAACAATTAAAATGATTATATAAATAAAAAGTGTTCTAAAAGACTAGTATAATTAGAAATTGGCTTGGGTACCCCGTCACGGCGTTGCCCAGGTCAATACTACTGTTCATATTTATAGTAATTCCCTCCATGAAAAAAAACAATGTCCGATTTACAACGGTACCCTGAACCTTTTTGTACAATCAAGTATGAATTGCATACAGTTAAACCCAAAATGAGCAATACATCGAAAGAATTTATCAAATGTCGTCTTGACATTTCGACGGATTTTATACTTATCTGCGTAAATCTCAGTATTTGCGAAAATAAAAAATAGCCATGAATATGCGGGAACAGTTTCAAAGAGTTCCATATAATCATTTAATTAAAAATCTAAATATCTGCTACATTCCATTATCAGAAATTACCATTTCCAATTTTGTATTTCTATACCGCAGGAAATTATATAGGATTTATGAGCTCTAAAACATTTAGATACACCTAGAAAAACGAAAATATCTTCCACATTATAGATTAGATAACAGTTTCAAGGAAACCGTTGTGAATCAGAGCCCGAGATTTAAACAATTCGGGAAAATACGCTCGGGTCTAAGCTGTCGTTGGGCCTTTTTTGCGCCTTGAGCTTTCGGATTCAAGCTGCATCTTATTTTCCACAGAGTTGAGTTTAAAAACCGTTTTAATATTCTATTTGGCAGATTTTCATGGTAGGAATTGACGCATTCCGGGTTTTTATGAGAACAAGATTCAACATTGAGCCTTAATCTCCACTAAACCCTACTAAGGTCGGTTTTATTTTCATTGGACCTAACTCCTTAAGTCGATCCGAAGATTTTGCAGCTGTCAATCATGTGACACAAGCTTTCGTCAGAGTTGGATCGACGATTGTGTCTTAAAGTCGAGTTTAAGGAATTACGTCTCGAGCCGAAGTTTTTAAATCGCGGGCACAGGTAACATTCCCTAGGCCCACTATATTTTCAGTTGAAGTAAATATTTCCACCTACTTCGCACTGATTGAAGGATTCATAACTCTGAGTGGATAATGAGATAGATAGAAAGATAGATTTTACCGTTATACTATTTCTTTTGGTTCAGAATAGACAACAAACACATGACTGAACCCTGATTGGATCAGGCGCAAATGGACTCGGCATAAAAGGCAAGGCCATATGAAATTTATGAAAATTTATTTTAAACACCAACATTTATGAGTACTGTAATTTTAAATCAGTCCAAAGCTGTTACCATGCCAAATTTTTTATATTTCAGATAAAAGTAAAATATGATTTCTCGTCTTGAGATTTTTAAGAAATGTATTTGGTACGGGATGTTTCTCGCCCTGCTCAGTATAGCTGTTAGTCAGCTCAAGGATTTATATGTTGGTTGGGAGGACAGACCCTTTGACACTGTAGTTGAGAATGTTCCAAAACAAGATATTCCGTATCCAAGTGTAACTATTTGCCCATCAGGTAAACATTGTCCTTGCATTGGACATATTTTTCAAAAAGGAGGCAATTAATAAATTGTTATAATCTAACTTTCAATCTAAAAAATCACTTTTTCGTTAATTTTTAATAAATTTCTTTTAAATATTCTCTGGCTGTTTTCTTTCAAACTCTTCATCAACTAGATTTTTAAGTACAATTGTGCAACAAAAAAATTAACAAGGAAAACGAAATTTTCTCACATTAGATGACATGTTTTCCAAGATTAGATAAAAAAGTTTAAAAGCTGAAAAAATAAAAACATAAAATTGCGCTTATTTTACTGTAAGAAAAGCACTTTATTTTAAAATTATCACTATGATTAATAATTTTGTCGGTCACAGAAACTGAGTTGAAATTGTTCGTTGCCATCTATTATACTATAGAATCTATTTACTCTTCATCAAAGAAAATTGAGATGAGAGCAGATGCATTAGCTGTAGCATTCATGCTTTGCTGAACAGGGATAATTATATGCAGTAAAGACATGCATGCAAAGCACTAACATTTTGCAAATAACTGGTCCTAGTGCCATTTACTCAAATCACGCTGATATACATTTCAAAACGAGTATAAATATTTAATGATTTTTTTTCATTTTTCCATTGCTTGTAACCTTTCTAGGATTAACAATTTGGCCAGGCATTCGAATGTTCCTTAATGAAATGGAATTTAAAGATGATTATAAAAATAGGCTAAATCAATCATACAATACTCTCTTAAGGTAATATGTTTATATGTATAAGCATATAATTTTGTTTTTTGATTGAATAATAAATTAATATATATATATATTAATAGATATATATATGTTTTCTTTAGCTGGCCTAAATGTTGGACCATATTGGCTGATTTGTTCATGATAAGAATAGTGTTAACAATTTTTGAGATTTCATAAGAAACGTCGGGAACTGCATCTGCAGGGCCCGGGGATGACATAGAATAACAGATTTATTTTTTTAAAACCCGGGTGAAGCTAGTCAGTAATTAAGCAGATTATCAGGGCACATTTTTAGAGTTATTACAGTCACAAATTACAATTTCTTTGGTGACATTTATTTTTGAAAGACTAAAACAGGAAAATCTTTTTTTCTGCTTTCATAGTTTATGACTATATTATTATCACAGAACAGAGCTTGATTATAAATGTTCTCCCCATTGGATAACTTTAAAGTTAAAATAAAATTGATTTAATTGGTTCATTAATTGATCTTTTGCATAGCAGAACAGCATACGATAAATAATTATCAAAAATTTATGTGATTAGACTTAAAATTGAAAACGTGGATGCCACTACTATAAATGATTATGAAGAATGTCAACATTTGAAATTTTATCTACAGAACAGGTATTGATGAAAGATCCATTTTAAAGAGTTTTCAAATTTTACCAAGATATCAAATTTTAAGAGAATCTTTTTGAAAAATATTGCCCTGCTTGTTGAATGTGTAAGGTATAATTTGTAAGAGAACTTTTATAGTTTATACTCAAGGAGTATGGAATATAGGGGAGATTTAAATGACGCGGCCTGTCCTACCAATAATTATCTAGATGCAGTACTTACTTCATTTGAATAAGAAATATTTGTCTGATGTACAAAAACCACACACATGTATTCAGAATAGATTATTGTATACATTTAACAGGGAAAAAATTAGGATGAATATATTTTTTTGAAGATTCAAAAATATTAGATATACAAGAATATTTATATATTATATAAAAATAGGTTTTATTTAATATGGTATAGTAAAAAACCGCATTTAAAGAATTAAAAGACGTCCTTTAACAATTATTTTACTAATGTAGTAACCCATCTGCAAAGCATCTATAAACATATGATAGGATGGGTCTTGTCATTTATTTCATACTCCTTGGTTATAATCTGTAATTTTTGTATTCGCCAGATAAAAACGCTGTTAATATTTACATGAAAATTCCTTTTTTTAAAACAAAAAACTTGTTTAGAAAGGGATTGAACTGTTAATGAAAAGAAAATAATTTTCAGAAGATTTTAAAAGATTTAAATTTTTTTATATCGACCAGATCCTGTAAAAAAAGCAACTTAATTAATGAATGAAAAAAAAGGATTAATTGTAACACTTGATTGCTTGATCTCAAACTTCAATGTGGATACTTATGAATTTAAGGGTAATTGCTTAATCCCTAAATTAAAGCTATAAATGACCTCTAAAACAAGAATTAAACTACTAACTATCCTGAGATGCTGTAAAAAGAAAAGTTCTGATTTTTGGTCCGAATACCAAATGTGTAAATCTTAACTTTTTAACTAGGGAAATCTGCAACTTTGCCATGTATGTGATTCAAATGACAAGCAGAATGATAACCAACAATGTACTTGCCAATAAAACTTTGAGCAAGTACAAAGTAAACAGAAAGCATATCCGGTCTCAAGAAATTGAAGATTATGGATGTCTTAATTCTGGGTTTGCATGTCATATAACAAAAAACATCAATTCTGATACACCATCTAATTTTTTTTGGCTCAGCACCTTTTTGGATCTTCTTGTTGTTGAAATTATTGAAAGAGGTGTAAGGGAGTCCCCATTTGATTCGGTTTTACAGGTAGATGTAAGTTAACAATGAACACAACAATGAAAGCCAAGAACCTAGTCAGAGATATCCAACCCAAGCTTGTGATAAAAAATTAGAGAAATTAAAACTCAGGTCTAAGCTGTTTCTGAAACTAATTTATTACACAAGCTTGGGATTTTTTCCTTTCATTGGGTTTATGAAACTGGTTTTATATTGTATTCGGCAAATTTTTATGGTTGGAATTGGCAAATTCCAGGATTTGATTAGAACAAGACTCAACATTGGGTCTAAGCTTTTTAATCTTGGGCTTAATCCTACTAATACTGTTGAACTGCGCTAACCAAGTTCTCTATTTGTTATAATTTTTTTAAATTTTTTAAATCTGCAGGAGATGTTTATGCCTCTGTCTTCAGTGATTCAAACAACAACTCCAAAAACAGCAACCCCCAACTTAGACTGGTGGTTCCAACTTGGAACTCTGCAAAAACGAGAAATTAACAGGGAAATGATAAATTCAACTGTTAATGCCAAACCAAGAACTGTTGAGGCAAGAATTTATCTCCTTTTATCTTTTTTAATGATTTTTTTTCTTTTCAATAATATTTTAATAATATTTAAGGAATACTTAAGAAGAAAAAACACTTAATGAATAGTTATGGTTTCTTTTTCTGAAATAGAATTCACAGCATCAATTTAGCCTTAAAATTATGAAGAAAAAGATATATACAGTACTATAAGACTTTACTGGGGGGTACCAGCAAGTACTTCGTACTTATTTGGATCATGCATCATGATCGGACTGGTGTTCAGGATGCCCTGTGAGTGATGAAAGTAAAAATATTGAAAGAAATCTTTTAAATTTGTCAAATTGATAATATTTAAGGAAATGTATGTGCCCAAGTCAGAACTAAATCAAGAGACTTTTTCAATGACGAAAACTTCCAGCTTTGATTGGCAATCCCTACTTAGAATAGAACAGAAACCACATATTGACTGGGAAATGATTATGAATATAAACTCTACTGTGAATGCCAAACCAAGCAATATGGTAGTAAGGATTTTTATACTTTTATCTTTACAAAAATGCTTTTTAATTTGCCATAAAATTATTTATTAGGACTTTAACCCTTGGTTAAAAATTTCCAAAACATTCAAAGAACTAACCATGCTTTCATCATACAAGTTTGAAAAAATCAAGAACCTTGGAGATTTTGTGGTCTTTTTTGCGAAATATGATTTTGCCAAGAAGAACTATTTTTTAACTGAAGAGCTAGTTGAAAACACTGAAAGAGAAGTAAATGATCTGCTGCGCATTTTACTACAAGATGTAACTGGAGAAAAAGATTTGACATGGAGCTTAGTTGATGCTTTAGATATAATGGTTGTTTTAGGTAATCAATACTATACAAAGTGCATGAAAAAGATAATCAGACAGATGCATGATGATGTTGAGTTTGTAAAATATTTTTCCTCTAAAATAACTCTGAGAAGTTTTGCAGATTTTTCTTTTTTCATCTGTGAATTACCATAAAATTACCTTATCATTTCCACCCTTTACACCAAGACAAGCCAAATCTATCCATATACAGATAGAAATTGAGCTTGATTGATTAATGTTTTGATTGTTGGACTTCTGATATGGGAACAGTATACGCATTTCATTTTATAAATTGCTTAGGCAGTCGTGCAGTTGTTGAAACAAGAATTTCAAATTTTAAAGGCAACAAAAGAAACAATTGGAATAGTTTGGATAAAATTGAGAAAGATTGTATTCTTGATGAGTATGAAAACCTTTTCAAAAATCTTCCAGTCTACTCAGATCCATGCACTGAGCCATCTGTCAAGTGTGAACATTTCTGCAAAAATATGGCACTTATGCAAAAGCATGCTAAAGATTCAGCAATTCTTCAACTCTTGCATTACATTTCCAGTCCAGCAAAGTTTTCATACGGCAGTACTTGGACTGTTCCTTTTTGTTTGAATGGAGCTGAAGTAAACAAGTTTAACCAGCTGCAGATAAACAAACCAAATTTTAATGATGGTTCCAACCAAACCTACTATGGCTATGAATTCTGTAAATCAGTTGAACAACGTATAACAGATGTTGGAATTTGCACCACTTACCATGATGTTCAAAACATGTTTCCACCAAAAGGAACTTTTGAAACCTTTGACACTGGAATTACCTTAATTTTGGATGCATTTTCTTACTTTTACTGGGCTATAGAAAAAAGACACCTAAGAGATCCTTATGAAAAGGTATAGTAAAAATGATTTTAGAAACTAACTTTTTTAATGAATAAACTTCTTATTTTAGTCTTACATGTCTGAGTTTCCTAAAACAATGTTTGAGGATGACCGAATGGAAAATTTTCATATTGTTCTCCACTCCAAAGGGGATATTCCTCTTTTTCAAGGACCTGCAGATTATAGGATCTATCTCAAGAAAGGAGAGAAAGTGTCTGATAATTTCATGACAGAATTTAGAATTCCATTTTCAGCAAAAGTAACAGCTGCTGATCAAAGTCTTAGAAAATACAGCATTGAAAATCGAAAATGCAGATTTGAAAATGAACTTGGTGACATGAAACTTTTCAAGACGTATTCATATATAAATTGCATATTTGAGTGTAAACTAGAAATAGTAAGAAAGTTGTGCAATTGCTTACCATGGTATCTTAAAATTGAAAACCAAACAGAACCAGTTTGTAACCTTTTTGGAAATAAATGCTATGAGCAAAGTACGATAAGAGCAAATCAACTTCTTGATTTCAGCAATCCTTTTAAACCATCATGTCATTGTTTCCCTGAATGTGAGGTATAAGTCCTAATTTGTGTAATCCTATTCTTCATTAACCACTAAAAGTAGACAAATAGAATATATGTAATAGTATGAAATATTATTCTACATTTTCTTGAAGGATTTTCGATCAGTATTGTTTAAATAATGTGTGCACCTTTTTTTCATAATTTTCCTAAAACTAAAACATCTCAAAATCAAAGCTATATGGGATTGGGTATCAAAATCTTTCCAAATAAGAAATTACATATAAAAACTTTTGCTTTAAATAACCGGAGCTGGGGTTTGAAAGTGAACCCCTACCTAATGTAAGCTCACTCTTTTATAAAGCCAGATTTCTAAATTGGCTTCTCACTACGATTCAAAGGTTTCAAATGCTCTCTTAAAATTCAATGAGAATTTTTCAAATTACTTCTATGAATCTAAAGCTAAAAACAAGTGCTTAATAGTGATAATAATAAAGAGTATAAGTGAGTTAGTGAGGAGACACTGAACGCAAAGGTGTTGCAATACTTTAAAGTCGACCCAGTCTTAAAAATGGATGCAACTTTTCATAGCAGCCTGGATCTGTGTGTACTGATTAGGGTTTCCAGTTGAAAATTTTTGCACGAAAATTGTGCAAATATTGCACAAAGATTTGCTTACGTTTCCAGCAAAAATTGCATGAAATCCACATTTACAGATTTTACTTATTTTATTAGCAATAAACTTGTGATCTTAGCGGACAAATAAGTTAGGCACTTCTGACCATAAGGCATAATTCTTTATTTTCATCCTTTTTTAGAGCCCCTTTTGAAAACCTTAGTTTTAATTTATTTAACCCAAGTTTAAATCTTCATTTTAGACCCAACTTAAGAATTAACTGAAATCAGCTTGTGTCAACAGTTGTAAGCTCTTAAAAACAACTAAAGGATTTAGGCAAATTATGAAACAAAACCAACTTTGGTTGGTTTTGTCTCAATGTTGATTCAAATTCTAATCAAAACTTGAAATCTGCCATTTGTAATTTTTCTAACTTTGATCATTTACTAACTAAGGATAGCAAATTTTTTTCTAAGAAATTGTTCCAGTTTTTTAACCAATGAAAATCTACCAAATGCAATAAATTAAACCATGCAAAATTAGTTTTAAGTTTTTAATAACTTTCAGTCTTAGATTAGTTGTGATGGCAGTTTAATGCCTTAAGTCTCATCTTTGATCGCAGACTCAGATATAATCTCTTCATCTTTCAAATCCAGTTCAGCTATATTTTATTTTTCTCTAGAGTGTAACTTATAAAGCTGCATTGGATATCTTTGGAATTCCCCCAGTTCTTAAAAATCCAAACCTTCTAAGCTTGGATCTCGAAGATACGGAATCAATTTGGGACAATGAGACAAAAGTTATAGAGTATGAAAAGAAAAAATTTCTTTTTGACTATGTAGCTGACATCTTCAAAGGTGATTCATTAGATAAAATATTGCAGAAGCAAAATTAAATGTCTAACATATTAAAATACAAGGGAAGAGCCGTATAAAAACAAGGCTGAACTTTAATCACACCTGAATAGTTAAAGAATAACTATGTATCATACCTTTTACTACTTAAGTGATGTTTACGTTACTCATGCTTACCATTTAATATAGGAGAAAACAGCCAGCTTATCTACTATTCCAATCTAACTGGAGATGTGGATCCAATCTTTAAAGGAACACCATACACATGCAGAGGCAATGTTTACATAAATTGCCTGATAAAGTCAAGAGGCAGAAATATAGCATCTGTATTGCTTGACTTTCAGAACAATAACTTCATCAAGTAATTTTTTTACATTCTAACATTTCACTTTCTGCTAGAATTAAATCTCAAGACAATCTTAAGAAAAGAGGAATGATTTTCTTTTTAATTTATAATACAATTGGTGATTTTATTTTAAAAGAATTTTCACTTATACATCTATTTGTAAATTGGGAAATTATTTTTCTAATCTTTCAGCAAGATAATTTATTATTTTTATGAAACTATTGTGAACTTACTCACTGCATGGTGAATTTTATCATGAACATGCTATAGAGTAATTATCATGCTACAAAGTATTGATTGGTTCCTGAATTTTCTCCCCAAAATTTAGGATATTTCCAAAATATTTTTTTTCAATTGAAATGAAAATAGAATTGAAATCAGCTTTATATTTTATGTCTGCTTTCTTAAAAAGCTTATTTTATCTAGAAATAGCCATTGCAACAAGACAAGTTCACAAACGTTTTGTAAAATTACCTATAACACTATTATTTTGGCACATTGTGCTATAAAGTTTTTGGACTTGAATTTTCTCTGTGTCTCAGAGGTGTTCACCTATTTAGATTATATTTTCTCCCCAGCTTTAGCATGGGATAAAATAAAATCAAAAAAGGCTTGAATATATAAATAGTTAATTTCAACTTTTACATACTTTTTAAACAAAAAGATATAAAATATCCAACAAGGACAAGGTTTAACTGTATTTTTTAACAAGACACACTTCTGAAGAAGTTTGATTTTGAGCTTCAAAGGCTTAAATTCTTTTTTAAGTAAATTTTCTGATAGGGGAGCATTCAGTAGGTGAAAATTATATAAACATTTAAATATATGATCATATTTGTTCAATTTGTGCGATATTTGATGAAAAAAACAGACAGAAATATGTGTAAATTTTGTTTTTACTTGTCTACAAGGGATTAGAATGCCAAGATCTACAAGAGAGGAAAAGAAAACAGATTCAGCTATTCAGAAGATACACCAGCCAGAGAATAAATTCACTGCTCTACTTTAAAATTTTTTTTTGAATTAAAATTCAAAAATAAATGTTCAGAAAATACCTTTAAAGATCTTATTGTTTGGGTAGCGAATGAAGTAGGAAGAAAAATCATAAAATAATGCCTATTCAACATATATATATTTTATTAAATATACTAGCTTGGGAACCAAGTTTCGTCTGAAACCCAAGTTTTCAGTATAAAAGTCGATATACTTTTATACTTTTAAACATCATTTGTATTCATATAGATATAGAATACCTAGATTAATTATTGAAAAAAATACTTAGTTTTAGCTAAACTAATTCAGGGAACGGTTGATTGAAAGAGTGACAGTTGGAGATAAGATATCAGCCATTGGTGGAACTCTTGGTAAACACTTCATGTATATTATTTATATTTTGAGTTCAAACAAGCTTTTTTTAAATCACAAGTGAACAGGGAAACTGTTAATTGACAGTCTCTCTTTGTTTCCTTGTTAAATTGTATCCATTCTTTTGAAAGCTTGGTAGAAATCAGAATTAACATCAAAGGTCGTCTTTATTGTATTGATATACAGGATTAACATCAAAGGTCGTCTTTATTGTATTGATATACAGGATTTCCCACAAAGTATATGAGGCTTTAGAGACGACTGTACAGAATTTATACTGTCTATATCCTTATATTTAGGATTTTCTCCAACTTTAAACTGGTTTCTCACGTTGCCATGTCAATAATTAGGCAATTAGTTTCAGGTCGTCTTTACAGTCTCATTCTTTGTGGGTAACCCTTTATACAAGGAAGATTGTATAAAATATCAGAGCATAATGTTTGTTCAATCTTTCAATTATAAGCGAAGTTTGATTTTGAGCTGTAAAGACTTAAATCCTTTTTTTTCAGACCAATACTTTTTGAGTTATGTAAAAAAACTACAAAACTACAAAAAAAACTACTAAAACGCAGGAATAGGGTTAAATCATTGACAATTACTACATTCCTTACGCTTTATTCGGGTTATCATGTTCACACCAAATGAACAGTAATCAATGTTAAAGGGACTGTAAAGGAAAAATGAAAGGAGGTATAATATAAAACCTGAGAACTCAGGCAACGCAAAAATATCAGAATATTAAATGCCAAATGATCAAAAATCTTTAAATGATCAAAAAACTGTACACTAAACAGTTAAGACAACTATTTTATTTCAATATCATACAATTTTACAATAAAGTTAATTTTAAAGTTTAAGGTATTCTTAAACATATTTTTATGATAAAGCGTCTGTAAAATGCATGCTCTCTCTTTCACGCAATCTATTTTTCTTCTTTCTCTTCTCTTCTATTTTCTACTCTTATCTTCTATTTTCTACTCTTCTCTTCTTTTTCTTCTTCTATTTTTTCTTCTCTTTTTCTTATCTTATCTCTTCTTCTCTTTTCTATAACTCTTCTGTTCTCTTATCTCTTTTCTTCTCTAATCTTCTGTTCTCTTATCTCTTTTCTTCTCTAATCTTATGTTCTCTTATCTCTTTTCTTCTCTTTGCTTATCTCGCATCGTCTCCTCCTTGTTTACTCTTTGTTGTTGACATTTAACCGGTTTTGAGATGAACAATGCAGTATGATCCATTGTTAAGATTTTTCTCTGTTTACATTTCTAGCTTGCAAGCCTAATTGAAACGCAATTTGCACTCCATAATTAGGCATTTGATAATTTGATATTTTTGCGAACGATACATCTATCGGATGTTCCTGTCTTAAGAAATTTATATAAAAATGTGTTAAAATTATACGAAAATCTATATATATATGAAATTTTGTATAAAAGTAGTAGGTTTAAACGGATCATATTCAGCAAATATGCAAACAATTTGAAAACGATTATATCCCACAGAAACCTGAGAATCTCAGGTTTGCTCCCATTATAATTTTTTAATTTCTATTTTGCATTTTTAATAGATATAATTGATAACATTATTTAAAAGTCCATATTACGTCACAAAAAAATCTACCTATGAGAGTGTAGTATACTGGTCATGTGATACAGACGGAAATTATGTGACCAGTATACTGCACTGCCATTGGCTGAAGTTTTACGAAAATCTATATATATAAAATTTTGTATAAAAGTAGTAGGTTTAAACGGATCATATTCAGCAAATATGCAAACAATCTGAAAACGAATATATCCCACAGAAACCTGAGAATCTCAGGTTTGCTTCCATTATAATTTTTTAATTTCTATTTTGCATTTTTAATAGATATAATTGATAACATTATTCAAAAGTCCATATTACGTCACAAGAAATTCTACCTATGAGAGTATAGTATACTGGTCATGTGATACAGACAGAAATTATGTGACCAGTATACTGCACTGCCATTGGCTGAAGTTATGGTGATGTAATACGGACTATATAGACTATATGTAATAATATTATCAATTTTATCTATTAAAAATGCAAAATAAAAATTAAATGATTATAACAGGAGCAAACCTGAGATTCTCAGGTTTCTGTGGGATATCGTGGTTTTCAGATTGGTTTTGTATTTGTAGAATATGTCTGTTGTATAACTTCTGTACACAATTGGATACATATGAATTTTCGTATAATTTTGACACAGTTTTACATCAATTTCTTGAGACAGAAACATCAGAAAGGTGTCTTAAATGTATCTTTCAACCCCTGAGATTCTCAGGTTTCATCCTATACCCCCCTTTCATTTTTCCTTTACAGTCACTTTAATCTCGCAAAGATGCCTTTTAAGATTTGATCTAAAAGAGTTTTTGATTTCTGTTTTTGACTTCTCTATAGAGAATAACTTTAGAATTCTATTTTATAAGACGAAAGTAAAATTAATGAGAATTTGTCCACCAATTTAAATGAGCATAGCTTTCTTTGGTTGATTTTGCTCTTGAAATAAATGAGAGGGCCTTTAAAATATCATTAGAAATATATTAAGAATAAATTTTCTTTTAGGTTTGTTTCTTGGGTTCTCTTTCTTCAGTGTTGTTGAATTACTATTTTGGTCAATACAAGCATTAGCTGCAAAGATTAAGAGGAATATTAGGAAATAAAACAAATGTAGTAAGTAGGAGAGAAAAGGAATGAAATTGTCAGAATTCAAAACAATATGTTAAATTAAAAAACTTAAAAGAAGGTTAGACCTGGATTGGTACAGACTGAAGAGAACTTACTGGAGTAAGGCATTTGTTACATGCAGACCTTTAACATTCCAATGACATTAAAAAATATGAAATATTGATGTTATTTTAAATAAATTATGATATTATATGTAAAAAAATAATCCTAAATTAAAAACCTTATTATTATATTCAGGGTTGTCCGCAAAGGATGAGACTTTAGAAGACATAGACGACTGTAAGGAATTTATGCAGTCTTTATTCTTACGTGTCTTACGTCTGAATGCAATTCATTAAGTATATGTTTTAGATTATACAAAAAACAAATAAAATATTACGCGTGATATTCATAAAGTTTTGGTTTGTCTTGCCACTCAAGTCTCATTTCTGGTGGGTAACCCTGTATATACATATCTGAACTGCAGACGCTACATGTATTTAAGATGTTAACTGAATGTTGAATAAATGTTTTATTAATATGTTGTGTTTTATAAAGTATACTTTACGTAGTTTTCATGCACTTATACTTTCATCAAAATTTCTGAAACTATAGTAGATTTAAGACATTTATTTTATTTATAAATTTATTCATTGTACTTGAGCTACACTCAAATAATAACGATTTAGATTCAAATTACTTTATTAACTGATAAATTATTACTATATAACGTATTTTAAGGCGTGATAAAAAACATGATCCAGGCTCAGCTGACGGATCCAACTCTCTCCAACGCGATCAGTTGTCTGGTCTTGACAGACAGATATCTTCTTCCGACACAGTACATTGTAGCAACAACAGAGCCCAAAAATTAAGACAGGGTATCGNGAAAGAAAAGTCAAGATAAGGCAGTAGGGTCATTGTCCTGTAAAAATATCTGATTTAAAGGTCGACTGTACGGATAATTTCAAGTGACCCTCCATGCAAAGATTGCCGGCAATGCACAATTTACAACGGCCTAAACCTTTGAAAGCTTTGTCTGGTCAATTATGAATTAGATATCAATGTTTTTTTCTTTAAACTGTTTATTTTCCTTTACGGTTTCTTGCGTTAAAGAAGCAATGGAGAAACTCACAGAAATAAAGACTTTTTGTGTCAGGAAAACACCGGTATCTTTTACATTTTTATCAGAATAACTGTTTAAACTGTTTATTTTCCTTTACGGTTTCTTGCGTTAAAGAAGCAATGGAGAAACTCACAGAAATAATCACTTTTTGTATCAGGAAAACACCGGTATCTTTTACATTTTTATCAGAATAAGGTTTCAATTTTTATATATACTGTTGTAAATCGGGCATTGCCATCTTTGCATATAGAGGGTCACTTGAAATTACGCTTACAGTCCCTTTAAGATTTCCATTTATCCAACCCCGTTAAGTAAACTAATGAATTTAGATCCTTTTTCAATCTCAGCTATTTTAGTTATTTTACCGTGGACAGCTTTATATACTTACATTTAATGCATTATAGAGTTTAAGGACAGTAGTGGGAACAAATGGGCATTATTTATGAAACTAAATGACAATTATCGTCTAAAATTTTAACACTATGCTTTAAGTTTAAAGAGCCTGCAAGCAAAATTTCATGTATTATTTTCATATATAAAAATGTAATGCATAGTCTGAGACACAAACAAGATTTTAATCTAATATTTATTTTCTCAAAATTCTAGAAATTAAATAATATTACTTGTTAATGAAAACTCTACTATCAAGTCTCAAATGGAAGGTTACAAGCTAAAATTTGCTAAGCCTTACATCTTTGCAACCTGATGGCGTAAACCTTTGATATTTCAACCTTATAGACTATTTGATCTCGCAGAATTCATAGTTTGAAATATCTAAGGTTCCAAAGATATAGGGCTGTTAGCAAATCTAACTTTGTGACTCAATTCCTTATGTAATAAATGTCGTAGTAAGCCCCATATTTATAAACCTGAACATCCCTATATTTATTACGTGATAACATTACACCCTAATTACGTTCATGAATTTAGCTACGTAAAACTATATATTTGTATCTATACACTGCATGTTAAGATTGTCTGTAATCAATTCATTATGTAATAAATGTAGTAGTAAGTCCCATATTTATAAACCTGAACATCCCTATATTTATTACGTGATAACATTACACCCTAATTACGTTCATGAATTTAGCTATGTAAAACTATATATTTGTATCTATACACTGCATGTTAAGATTGTCTGTAACTGTAATCAATTACGTTCATTATTTAATACGAAGAAAATATAGTTAGTTTGTCTTAGGTACAAGAACAAAGTGTCAGCTCAAGTTGTACCTTGAAAGATATAAACATATCATTGAGGAACCTTGCGTTCGAGATTGAGTTGTATCTTGTAAGACAGATATTTGAGAATAGAGATAAAGTTGTATCCGGATTGATATTGATACGAAAGTCCTATTGAGAAACATTAAGTTCAAGATTGAGTTGTATCTGTACAATACATATTGAGGAATACAAGGAGCGTCATATCTGACTGAGTATTATAGCTGATAGTCTGTACGAGTTGTATCTGTACAATACATATTGAGGAATACAAGGACTGAGTATTATAGCTGATAGTCTGTACGAGTTGTATCTGTACAATACATATTGAGGAATACAAGAGCGTCATATCTGGACTGATACAGACTGAGTATTATAGCTGATAGTCAGAGTTGTATCTGTACAATACATATTAAGAGAACTTATTGGAGTAAGGAATTTGCTACACTTAGACCTTGCCCTTCTGTCCATTTTACAGTGCAATGTGTACTACTAATTCAATTGATTGTTCGATATTGATATCATTATTCTTATTGTTATTAACTCAATTACTGAGCTACTTTTATATTATAAAATGAAAACAACACGTTTCTTTGTTAAGCTTGATGTTTATGAATTCATATTCTTATATCTAGCCAATGTTTATTCTTTAGAATTGTACTTGGGAACCCAGATTTGCCTGGGTATTTAAACCAATCTCTAACTAGATTAAGCACATTCTCGTACCTATGCCGAGTTTACAAATCAAATTTTGATGCAAATTGGTCAAGGTGATTATGACTTATGATAGATGAACATCAATCAAACGAATATTTTTCATTTAAGAACTTAAACACTTTGGTCAAAAAAGTCATTCAAACGTTCAAGATTACCAATTTCCATCCAAAAATTCCAAAAGTTATACAATTAAAATATAAACCATGATAAAATTATGAGATAATTGGTTTTGAATCAAATTAATCTAATTTAATTTTACTTCCAAGATATACGAAGAAAAACATTTAAAGGATTAAAAAGATAATTTCTCTTATAAATATTTAATAATAAATCATTGGTTAAACTCAGAACTTGAAATACATAAAAACCACTCCCCTTCAGTCCGCCCACCCCCAGATCACTGNNNNTTTAAAAGTAGCGCATACCTTCAATGAACTCCCTTTCAGGCTGAAAGGGACTGAAAAAATTCATACCGAGAGATTCTTTAAATTCCAATCTAATATATATTCTATTCTCTATGTTCACAACAAAGACAATATATTTTGTACAGTACAGACAGTGTACATATTCTACTGTACAGAGCATGTACATATTATACTGTGAACTGTATTTATTATACTGTTCAGTGTACACTTTCAACTGTACAATGTACATACTCTACTGTACAGAGCATGTACATATTATACTGTGGACTGTATTTATTATACTGTTCAGTTTACATATAAATCTACTGTACAAGGTATATATTCTACTGTACAGTGTACGTTTTTTTTACAGATTATATATTTTATTGTATAGTATACACATTTGATCTTATCGAGCGTTTTCTTAGAAAACTAGACTAACTGCATGTTGCAGATAGTGTTCTTAGGAAAATCATACCAATATTTACTTTTCTGAAATAACTCAGTAAGGGATATCTCAGTTAAGTCAACAATATTAGATATTCAGAGCCAAGAACTTTGAAATAGGAGGAATTCCGTGTGATCTTTAGAAATTGTAACAAAGTAAAAATCATCAAAAATCAGCGAAAAGTTGATGCATTCAATATTAAATCGGGAAATTTTGAGAGTTTCCAACATTTTTGATGCCTCACTTCGCTATTTATTACCTTTTAATACGCAAGGGCAAAATAAACTTTTTATTTTGAAAATAATATGACTGCAGATATGGCCGGAGAAAGTAAGAAAAGAATGTAGATAGAATTTGTTTCCAAAATCACCCAAGTCAGATTCTTACAAGTCCCACTTTTTTATTGAAAAACCTAATTAAGTGGCTTTGTTCCTTCAATGCATAGCACAAAATGCTTGTTTTTAGCAATATAGGATACGATGAGCAGATAACAATAAATGTTTTTAGGATTAATATAGAAATGTCCAGGGGCCGAACTTGATGAATTTGAGCTACGTCGCCGCACCACCTACTGCCGGTTCGAATTTGAACCACCGCGGCCGATTCAAAGTTAATGATTAAGGAAGGATTTAAATTGGTGATTCAAATTTCAAGCAGCGGTAATAAAGTTCAAATTCGTTTATTTCTCAAATGCATAATCTACATATTTGAATATTTTTAGAACAATAAATGAAAACTAAAAGACAACCAGGAATTATATTTATTTACATTTCAGGTAAGAAAAAGAGACTGACAAACTATACTTCAAAGATAGTCATCGCCGTTTTGATTTTAATGTCTAAATAAAACAATTTAGACATTTTTAATAAACTAGGCTTTTAGTGCGCTTCGCACCCATCTTCTTTTTCAATTGTGAAAATTTCATTTTTGTACACATTGTAAAACAAAAAGAAAAACGATTCGCAGATTTCATGAAAAAAATTTTGTGGATTTTGAAATTGGAAATTGAATTTTGTTGGAGGCAAAGTTTTGAAATTTTGATCATCTAAACCTTCCCTGAGGCCACGAAAGGTCCAACATATTATTCTGGCCTGTTCGGTTTGCAGCCGATTTAACGTTTTTTGGATACAAACAAACAGACAGACATGAAAAGTGTATATATGTATATATGTATATATATATATATATATATACTAGGCTTCTATTTTGATTGTGAACACTTTCTCTTTGTATACATTGTAAAACAAAAACAAACAAAACTTTCGCGGAATTCATAAAAAAAATTCGGGGATTATCAAAATTTTCAAAAATCGAATTTTGTTAGAGGCAATTTTTTTTAATTAGATTGAGACTTTTGAGGAGTTTTGAACCTAAGATCTAGACGCGGCAAGATGAGCAACTTCCGGCCACGTCACCTATCTATCTGTTTAATATTTTACGTTTCAATAAATTTAAGTTCTAAAGTTCTATAAACCTTTCCTGGACTCACGCGAGGTCCCACCAAAAAAATTGGGTCCAATTCAGTTCAGCCGTTTTGATGTCTATTGGATACAAACAAACAAACAGACCGACAGACAACCAGACAAGGAAAGTATCACACCTGTATGCCAAGTCCATTAGCGCCTGATCCAATCACGGTTCAGTCATGTGTTTGTTGTCTATTCTGAACCAATAAAAATAGTATGACGGAAACATCTATCTTTCTATCTAACTCATTATCCAATCAGAGTTATGAATGCTTCAATCGGCGCTATCAGTAAATGGAAATATTTACTTCTACTGAAACTGAAAGTGGTAAATAGATACTTGGTCATCTTTAAATGTTTATTTGGAAACTCTTACTTTTCAATTTAGGAGTTTAAGCTACAAGATTGTTGAATATTAAAATGAATCTTAAAAAAAATGGTAAAAAAAATTCTCGATATTTTATTGGTCAATTGGTCAATTTTTCACATTTTGACTAATGAGAAATGAGGATGTTGATTATAAAACATCAGGAAAAAGTTTAAATCATTTTTTTCGTTCAAAAATCTTCATCTCAAAGAAGTTCAGAGAGGATAAAATACATTTATATTCTAGTAAACATTGCTTTTCTTATCTTATGTAGAATATTTATTTTATGCAAAAAATCTATTTTCTTCGAAATCCAAATTCTAATTTATATTTGTATTTTGATGTTTAAAGGAGTTTGAAAACAAGCATTTAATAAGAACTAGCTCAAGTGCCCGGCGTTGCCCAGGTTAATAATAGTTACTCTTACTGTTCACCCGCACTTGGTTTTAAATCATGATTTGCTGAAATACCCAGCGCATTCCGTGGATTTTCGAAAATTTCTGCAAACAAATTTAGCCTATGTTACCCCAAGCCAGTTTGGTTCAGCCGTTTGGCCGCTATAGCTAGCCTAACACATATATACATAAATATACAAGTAAGAGAGACGATTACGAAGCCAGAGACAACAGAAACTGCAAGCTTTACAAGGAAAAGACTAATAGAAGAGAGAGAAATGCCAAAATTTTAAAAGTAGCGCATACCTTCAATGAGCCTCCATGTTGTCCAAGGAGTATAAAATAGAAGGAAGATACAAATGACGCGACCACATGATTATACATGCTTTGCAGACGGGTACTCCATTTGTATAAGAATTATTTAAAGTAGGTTATTGATTACGACATCAGACAAATATTTCTTATTCAAATGAAGTACCGTCTGCAAAGCGGTAACCGCCAAAAAAGTCCTTAGAAAAATAGTTTCCGGAAAAAAGTCCTAAAATTTCACACTAAAAAAGTCCTGTGGAAAAAAGTCCTTTTATTAAAAAGTCTCCGGAAATAAAGTCCTACCAATTCGAGACTTTATTTTCTAGGACTTCTTTTCTGTCTCCAGTATGATTTTATACAAAAAAGTCCTCGGAAAAAAAGTCCTCCAACAAGTGAAAAGGCATGATTCACAATGGAAAAAAAGTCCTGGTCCTATCTAAAATCGTAGGTTTTCAGGGGATTGATATTTAAACACTCCTGACTATATATATATTAAATATGGAAAAAGTCCTTTTTATGAAAACTTCTCATATTACTTAAGAATATAAAACTAGCCCTGTATAAGATGTACATAGTAAACTTGTACAGGGGATTTTATACACAACTTTTCTTAGGACTTTTTTCCGCAGACTTAAATTACTGAGTTCAAATTTCCCGAGACTTAGGACTTTTTTTCTAGGTTTTTTCTTTTCCTCGGATTATTTTCTTCAGGACTTTTTTTCCTGAGATCTTATTTCCTGAGACTTTATTGGCAGCCCCCATACTATTTTAGGAACTTGAGGACTTCAGAAAATTCGGACTTTTTTCAAAAGTTTTTATTTCCAGGTTTTTTTCCCAGAAACTTTTTTTCCCAGGACTCTCTTACATAGATTCCTGCAAAGCATGTATAATCATATGGTAGGGCTGGCCGCGTCAGTTGTATCTCCCTTCTATTTCATACTCCTGATATTGACCTCTGGAAGTGAAGTACATGGCCTGTACAATTAGTAAAGGATTATCGTACATCATCACTCTATATACTATTACCTCGCTGGGTTTATAGGATACACCCAAATATAAAAAAAAAATGATAGGACAGGGGTAAAACACAAAACGCCGAGGCAAGCACCTTTTAATCAACCTTGTGGGCAAAGCAAAAAGTAAATTAGACTCCGAAAACGAAACGGGTTTACTCATATCAATCGTACTACTTTTTTTGTATGTGTGTGCAAACGCCCACAACCCTAAACTAAAATAAAAATCGTAAAAAAATGTATATTTATATAATGCCCGGCGTTGCCCGTGGAAAAAAAATTATTATATAGATTATATTGGTGTAGTATTCATATCGTATCCAGTAGAAATAAGAATGAAAAATGTCTTAATATTAGCCAGCGATACATCAGTCCGACACTTCACAAAATTCTAAGCTAATGGAGCTGAGTTCTTGCCACAAACAAAAACTTTTAAATCCCTATATCTTTGCAACCAGATGGTGCTTAACTTTGATACTTTAAACTCAGACTAACATGACTAAATAATCTTACTTAATTCATAATTTTAAATATCAAAGATCTTTGACATTGGGTTTTTTAGGAATTTTTAGGAATTTTTTTACTGAATATGATATGAATACAATATCTATACCCTGAATTCATTGGTTTATACCTTGCTTCTGTTAGAATTCCTATATAATACTGCTTAACACTGGTTATATCTATACACAACTTTTTTGATAAACGCTTTTGATATTTTTCAAGGAAATTCAAGCAATATCTGTTATTAGATGATCAGGACTGGTGTTAGGCAATTTCCCAATGGCATTTTCCCAAGTAAAAAAATACCATTGGGAACTTGCCGACTCTTCCACACTATAAATAATCATTAACTAAAGCAAATGCATAATATTGAAAGAAATCAAAAAGTAAATTGTAAGGGTTTGTTTTTTGGTAATTTATTTGTAATTAACATAATCTGAAGAATATACATAAAATGTTTAAACTGAGGATGTTGATTTTGTTGTTGTTCTTGTTCTTGTTGTTTTTGTTGAGATTGTTGTTTCTGTTGTTGTTGTACAATGTTTCCTTTCACACTCTGCCTTGGCATCACTAAACATAACTTTGTAATAGTAAAAATTACATTTCTTTATCTAAAATTAAAAAGCTCCATTTGAGTCAAATTGGCATTGAAAATTAGCAAAGCAACCTTTTCAAACTTTTTTTTTAAAAAAGGTTAAAAAATGTTTTTTTTAAAGTGATCTGAATTGTTTTTTTTGTACCCCTGACAGGAACTAAAAGACAATACCTGGTTAAGTTTCCGCAATTTAATTGGCACTGTAAACTGGAATTAAACCTCTCTGCAATCTAGATAATTAAATGGTAATGTTAAATAACTTCTTGTATTTATTAAATAAACCTTGAACTAACATATTCTATATCTATATATACATATAAGGCTGTAATTTCTGTGTGTCTGTCTGTTCGTTTGTCCGATCACAACTCAGGAACCCCTAGACCGATTTGCCTCAAATTATGATTAGAGACCCACGGGAATGTTCTTAGGTTGGTTTTAAGATTCCAAATTGAGTGGGTCGGCTTTAATAGCGAAAATTTAGTTTCTGGGTAAAAAGGTTGCAGTGTGTGCAGGTAAACGGCGGGAGTAACTTTAGTAACCTGGGCAGCGCTGGGTTTCCAAGCTGGTAATGAATAAAGTTTTTTTTCGCTCGGAATTTTGCTTTGTGTTTGTTTAAGGGTTTAAAATCTTGATTTAAACCCGGAAACAAACAAAAAAGTTTAAATCACAAGAAAAAAACATATTTTTTCAAATGAAAACACAAGACGGTTTATATGGATTCATTAAATTAGAGTTTCATAAAAATGTGCGAAAATTGAATAAAGATTTCTAATCCCGAAATTATGATTATAAAAATAAGCATGCAGGCTCCTTTGTTTCAAAATGCAAAATTCTATTTTCCATGATTTCTAAAATGTGGTCTGCTGATAAAAACAATGATTTGCATAGATTTGGAATCTGTTCTTTAAAGTTGACAATCTGCTTATATAAATATACGTAAAATTTAGGATTTGCATTTTATTTTGGCATCTTTCTCTTTAACAAAGAGTTGAAATTTACTTTGAAAGTCCTGGATGCATATGGTGGGAACTGTGAAACCCTTGAAAGTTTGTTTACTTTAATCTTAATTGTTGTGTGTTAGGCAAGGTTGTGTAATAAGGTTGGTTACTCTCGATGCGCTCCGATGTACGGGAAATTTCGTCTCCTAAGATAAATAGATAAAACCCTCATACGACAACAACGTCACTCTCGCCTATGTAATCAGTAACGTCATATGAGGTTTTTATCTATCTATCTTAGGCGACGACATTTTCCGTACATTGGAGCGCATCGAGAGTAATCAACCTTTTTATACAACCTTGGTATTAGTAGACTATGTGTTCTGAGAGAATATTAATTCATAATTAAACAAGATTACAAATATACAACTATCTAAAGAACATGGATCCTTTGAATTGTAATTTTAATTTCAATTCAAATCATGACACTAATAAAAAAGCCTTATGTAGCTAGTACACCGAGATAGTGGGTGCAGATAGATAGTAAATAAAAAAAAATATCGGGTGACCTTAAAGTATACGATATGAAAATAAAATTTATTGTTAACTAGTTTAGAACGCAAATTACGGAATATGATCTTTAAAAGACAAAAATATATTTTTAATTATCAACAAATACTTTCTGATGGTTCATTAATACTGTTAATTTCTTATTATCATACATTCAAAAAGGTTTTAACATTTAGAATTATGAGTATTGGAACCTTCTATTAAACCTCAACATGCTTTTATAATGAACTGCAGGCTATATACTCCCCTCCCCGCCTATCAGACTTTTTATGTTTAAGCCTCCCTATACCCATGGATGGATATGTGTTTAATGGTTTATTGAAGTCAAGTCATATATTGCAAAATATATTTATGTTTAAGCCTCCTTATACCTAGGATGGAAATGTGTGTATAATGATTTATTGAAGTCAAGAATGGTTTATTGAAGTCAAGTCGTATATTTTAAAATATATTTATGTTTAAGCCTCCCTATACCTTGGATGGAAATGTGTGTAATGGTTTATTGAAGTCAAGTCGTATATTTCAAAATATTTTTATGGAATATATTGAAGTCGTGACATTGCAAAATAATCTAGAAAATGTGAAAAAACAAAATTTCATTAAAAGGGACTGTTCTGTTATCTGAGGTTGACACTTTGATTTGTTTTTGGTGTAAAGCTTTTATTTCAATACTATTAAGTTCATGTCATTTCATGTCATTTCATGTCATTTCATGTCATTTCATGTCATTTCATGTCATTTTATGTCATTTCATGTCATCTTATGTCATATCATGTCATGAAGATATGTAAATTAATTTCCTTCCTTTTACTCTGCTGTATTTAGTATAACATCTGTTAAGTTTAAATAATATAAATAAACACCTTGACAGTTTGTTTAGCATTTACTTCAGCATAGGCTCGGGCAAAGGAAGCAAGAAGAGGGGCTTGGTCAGCAGCCTCTCTTAAACCCTGATCATCATTATCATCATTATCATCATTATCATCATTATCATCATTATCATCATTATCATCATTATCATCATTATCATCATTATCATCATTATCATCATCTTCGTCATAATCAACATATATTAACACTTTAGCATACATTTATAACGAGTGGGGCAGTATCGTTTGTTGCTCTGATTAAACTGTGAACCAGGCTGCCTCCACTCTCAACCAGCATTGGAACCTAGAATAATTCAAATAATTCAACGAAAATTATTTATCAATTTAAGCTAGGTCGGTTCAGATATATAGATAGCTAGATAGATAGGTAGATAGAAGATTGATTACTTCTATTAGTTTCCTTCTCGTATCTGGAGCAATTTGTCTAGAATATACTGTAGAGAATTTGTCTAATCAAACAACAAGTAAATGTAATACATCAATAATTGGACAGGTTACAGTGTGCCCTATACTTAACATTACATTTTTAAAGAATATTGTCAAAATAAAAAACCGGTTTGAAATCAACATATTAAATTTAAAATGTATTTTTACCGGTTTTGAAATCATATTTGGTCCTCTTTAAATTAAACTTCTTAGAAAAAAAGCGACGACTGTTAAGATTCTACACGTAAGAATTTAATCTTATATAAGGTATTTGAAGCTATGGAGAAGAAAATGTTCTTAATTTATATTATGTAACACTGACCTGCAGAAAATGCTTTTTTCAGACTTGTGTATAAAATCAAAACTAGAGGAGCTACAAGGTCACAAAGTTGGACCAGTAACGTCACATTAATTTGACCTTCTCCTTCTGTCTAGTTCACAGTGTAGAATTGCATCTAATGTCAGATTTGGTTTTGAGGGAAGTTTTTTTTGTCTATTTAACAATGAGATTTTAATGACGACCTTTATCGTTTACAGGTGACTTGGTGTTCTCTAATTCCTAAATTTTATATTGAAGAGCTGTTTAATGATTTCAGATAGAAATAAATAATGGTTATGTTGCGCACATAGATTCAGCCTGTTTATAAAAAGTCTAATCAATTTTTAAGACATGGTCGCCTTTGAAGTGTCACAACGCCTTGGACTTTGATATTACCGCTCTAACTCACTTATGCTTTTCTGTAACCCTTTGCATGTACATTTTAGCACTATTAATCACTTGTTGTTAGCTTAGGCTTTTCAGAAGTAATTGACAAAATTCTCATCGATTTTAGCTTGAGACGGTGTGCGGGGAACTATATATTAAAATTTTTGCAGTGTCCTATATCTTATGGCGGAAATCCTGTAGCATTGTCACGTGTCCTCGTTTTGATGTAAACACACTGAATGACGTCATAATGTGAATTGTAAACAAACCTGGCCAACAGCTTGACTTGCGACTTCCCCAACATTTCTAAGCTGCTCCTGGAGCCTCTAAGAATTATTTTTTAAAATTTTTTTATAAACTATATTTGAATCCTGGTGGTGGTATGTGTTTTTCTCCGAATAATTAAATGTTGAAAGGACTGTACGTGTTTTTAAACTGACTCTCCACTCCATGTATGCAAAGATGGCAACACCTGATTTACACAACGTTGCCCTTAAAAGCTTTGTATGAAAATATTAATTAGGCTGTTAGACATGTTTGTTTTTGTTTCTTTAAAAAGTTTATTTTCAGTTTTTGGATTATCTGGTGACTTGCACATTTCTTGCTGTTAAGAAGCCATGATGAAATTCACAGAAATAAACACTGTTCGAGTTAGAACAACGACTTTATCTTCCACATCATATTAGGGTTTCAAGGGTACCGTTGTAAATCGAGGGAGGTCAGTAGAAATTCAGTTTACAGTCCCTTTAAATAATATCATTTATAAGTCCGTTTTACGTCACTGAACTCCCGCCAATGAGAGTGCAGTACACTGGTCACGTGTCTCCGGCTGTAACACATGACTAGTGTACTGCATTCTCATTGGCGGGAGTTCTGGTGACGTAATACGGACTTATAAATAATATTATTTAAAGGGACTGTAAACTTAATTTTAACTGACCCCCATGCAAAAAAATTAAAAATTAAAATAACAATTCTGAAATGATAATTGGAGAAAAAGTTACAATTAGGTTTCTCTGGGATATCTTTGTTTTCAGATTGGTTGCATATTTGCTTTTAACGATCTTCTAAACCTACTATTTCTATACAAAATTGTATATATACGAATTTTCGTAAAAATTTTTACACAGTTTTAAATAAATTTCTTAAGACAGGAACATCAGATATAAATTTCATAGGCCGCGATCAAGAGCTAAAGTGATTAGCTTTCAGCCTATATCCCCTTTTATTTTCCTTTGCAGTCCCTTTGAGGAATGACTTATATAAATTTTTTTCTTACAGATTTCTGCAAAGCTTCAAATGACAAGCTCTAAACTTTCATGTTTAGGATCTGTTAAACATTTTAAGAAAACGATTTTTAAAGTAAGTAATTACTGTACTGTACTGTACTGTAGTGTACTGTACTGTACTGTACTGTACTTTACACTACTGTACTGTGCTGTACTGTACTGTACATTACTGTACTGTACTGTACTGTACATTACTGTACTGTACTGTACTGTACTGTACACTACTGTACTGTACTGTACTGTACTGTACACTACTGTACTGTACACTTCTGTACTGTACCTCATTTTCTACAACGCCGTTCACAGACTGTTGACCCATCGATACTAGACGTGGAGCCTAGATAATAAAATCATATAGATTAAGATAGATATTGGGGTAACAGGGGCGTGTAAAGTTTTTAAAAGTGGTGGAAGGGGTAAACGTGGTTTTCGAATTTATTCTTAAAAAACTTAAATTAATGGGGCTATCTAATTGCTCCCTGAACTAGTGGAACTGCCATCCTTGCCACAGTACTAGTAATATTTGTTCCTAACATTACTGTCTCGCTTACTCTATCCTGGAATTCCTAAACAAATTAACAATAATAAATTAATAAAAACAAGAACATTTTTTACCCTTTTTTTAACACTTTTTTCTCACAAAATTTGTTTATTTTTGAGCTTTTGATCTTGAAGAAAAATGATATTTAAAGAAAATGTAAATTCTCTGTTGAAAATTTAATCTGTTTTATGAAACAATTAAACTAAAAAGGTTGAAAAATATTGTTTTTTTTCCTTAATTGTTTAAACAAAGACTTTTACGTGACATGTAAAATATTTTTATTGTTAGATATAAATAATTTATTTAGTTGGGTTTACTTCTATTATACGTCTTTGTTGCTAGGTTAAATAAAATTAAGAACTTTTCCATTATATTCTATGGTTCAAAGATTTTGAATGATCATCCTAAGTTTAATTGCCCTTTTTTATAAGTCTATCAAGCAAATCGCCTTTTTATTGTTCCCACATACATCTTTTTTAGTTTCAGATTTAATTGGATTCAAATAGATGATTCCTAGCTACTATATATTTAGTATATTTGCTTTGTAACAACTTCAGATTGCTTACAAGTCGTCTTCCGTTTACAAAGTTTACGGAATCCCATGGAAAACATTTGAAACTATGATAAGCTTAGAGTTTTATGTTCTAAGGTTTAGAATGAAAAGAATGCCAATTAAAAACAAAACCAAAATCCTGATCAATACAAAATTAAATTACTTATAAAAGAAAATATCTAAGTATTTGCATCTCTTCTAAGTAAAAATTGTGAAATTTTCCTCCAAACAATTGTCCAAATAAAAGTGTTGGTGCTCTAAAATAGAAATAATAAATTAATTACAAATAACACGAATATTCCCGGTTTAACATTTATATATATATATATATATATATATATATATAATATATATATNATATTAATGTGCTATAGTATGGTTTACCTTGACAACTGGAGTATATCTACAGATATTAATGTGCTATAGTATGGTTTACCTTGACAACTGGAGTATATCTACAGATATTAATGTGCTATAGTATTGTTTACCTTGACAACTGGAGTATATTCATCATAATAATAATCCAACGCATCATCAGTTTGTGGGAAGGGTATGGGGGTGCAGGGGGAGAACAGCAGAAAACCCTGAAAATTAACAAATTATATCCTGTTTCAAAAATGTTGAATGACTGTCTTTAGAAAGTTTATCGAAACCTGTGTTTGAAATCCAAATATTTTTTTAACCCCGGACCCGCCTGTTAAAAGAAATGTCTTTTCTTTGAAAAGTCCTTTTTGTAAACTCTCCTTTATTTTCTGTAATTTAGATTTTTAGATTACTCAAGAAAGGTTCCGTCGATAAATGTTATGTTTATGAAATGGTCTCTAAGATTTTCAATCTCTGAAATCTCTGGCCATTTTAAATGTCCTGTCTCCATAAAGTGTCCTGTCTATGATATGCCCTGTCTATGCCTGTCTATGATATGCCCTGTCTATGCCTGTCTATGCCCTGGTTTATGAAACATTCTGGGATCAATATATTTATGATCCATAAACATACATAAATGTCCAATATGAAATGCCAATGATGAACAGAAAGGCAACCCTCCCAGACAAGCAACCAATCTACCAGACAAACACTGCCAGACAGACAAGCAACCAATCTACCAGACAAACACTGCCAGACAGACAAGCAACCAATCTACCAGACAAACACTGCCAGACAGACAAGCAAACAATCTACCAGACAAACACTGCCAGACAGACAAGCAAACAATCTACCAGACAAACACTGCCAGACAGACAAGCAAACAATCTACCAGACAAACACTGCCAAACAGACAGACAAGCAAAAAACCTAAAAGACAGACATAAGGGCGTATACAGGGGGAGGCAAGGGTGACAGTGCCTCCCCCTAGACCCGTAAAGAGAGGGTGTAGCCCCCCCCCCCTCCTAGAACTCAGAGCTATCACACTTTTCAAATTTTAAACTGAAAAGTGAAAAACATTAAAAAAAACTATTTTGCTGTTATATTTTACAAAAAATATATATATATTATTGCAGTGCTGTAACCTAATTTTCCCTTTTAAGTTCACAGAGTTGAGCTGAGTTCACAGAATTTCATTTTCAAAAAATTCTTCTATTATATCTAGTATAAATACTAACTGCAGTACATAAAATGAATTCCTCAACCCTGTTATTCCTCAAAAACAAGCTCAGCTCTGCCACGTTCCTTGTTGATACTGGTGCTTCAGTGTCAGTGTTCTCTCACCTTCCCTGATCACCTTCAGCTCCATGTTCTGGTGTTTTTGTTGAGAACCACCGACACTTATGGTTCCCACTGTTTAGCTCTACAGTTCTGTTCCAGACGTTTTGAGTGAAATTTTTTGCTAGCCAAATTGTCCACGCCGATTTTGGGATCAGATTTTCCAAGCCACAATCACCTCCTGGTTGATGTCGCAGGTTCTCGTCTCCTTGACTCCTCGACCCTGGAACCAATACCCGCCGTTTCATCTAATTCAGTCAACAGCAAATCAGGTCTCTATACTGCTCTCCTTTCTACCCCTGAAGAGTTCAGCGATCTCCTGTTCAAATATCCTGATGTCGTCTCCTCCAAAGGTTTTTTCACCACAGATCCAAGGCATCGAGTCCGCCACACTGTCCCCATATTGCCTGGCCCGCCAGATTTTGCCAAAGCCCACCGTCTTGACGCAGAAAAGCTGGAATCCGCAAGGAAGGAGTTTGTGGCCATGGAGTCTGCAGGGACAATCCGACGCTCTTCCTCTCCGTGGGCGAGTCCCTTGCACATGGTAAAGAAGCCTAATGGTTCCGGAAGACCTTGCATTGATTACCGCTGCCTGAATACTCAAACTGTTCCAGATTTCTCATCTCGTCTTCATGGTTCCAAGGTATTCACTAAGCTGGACCTAACCAACGGGTATTATCAAGTTCCAATGGCTCCTGGAGATGTGCCTAAGACAGCGGTGATCACCCCCTTTGGCCTGTTTGAATGGTTGAGGATGCCGTTTGGTCTCAGAAACAGCAGATGCACCTTCCAAAGGTTGATGGATCAAATTTTTCAAGGACTTCCTTACTGTTTTGTATATGTGGATGACATCCTTATCTCCAGCCCCGACCTCAGCTCTCACCTTGAACATGTTCAGAACATGCTTGATCTTTTCCGACTCCATGGGTTTCAGATTCAGGATGTATTCCTCTGACGAAGCACACCGAGATTATCTCCGCCTTCCCTTGTCCAACAGACAAGAAGAATTTACAGAGGTTTCTAGGAATTCTCAATTTCTACAGAAGATTTAACAAGGCTGCAGCTGGTCTCCTACGTCCTTTAACTGAGGCTCTCAAAGGTAAATCTTCTCTAACCTGGGACCTAGAGATGAACCAATCCTTCGCAGCTGCTAAATCCATCCTGGAAAATGTTCCTACTCTGGTTCACCCTGATCCCTCCGCCAGGATATCCTTATCCGTGGATGCCTCTTGATCTCATGTTGGAGCAGTCTTACAACAAGAAGTATCCGGTTCCTGGGCCCCTCTGGCGTTTTATTCCAAGAAATTATCCGCCCCAGAATGCTAGTATTCTGCCTTCGACCGTGAATTGTTTGCTGCCTACTCTTCTCTCCGCCATTTCCGCTTCATGCTAGAAGGTAGACAGTTTATTCTGTTCACTGACCATAAACCATTGACATATGCATTGTTTAGAACGTCTCCGCTCTGGTTCACCATGCAGCAAAGGAGATTATCGTTCCTGTCTGAGTTCAACTGTGAGATCCTTCATCTCCCTGGCCCGGAAAACTGCTGATGCCCTGTCCCGTCCAGAGTCCAGTGATGTTCCATACATTCCTCCGCCATGACTTTGATATCCGAACTCCAACCAGTTGCTCCGCCTCCAGTTCCAGGAATATCTTTCTCCGAAATGTCTATCCTACAGCAGTCCTGCCCAAAGATTGAGGTACTCAGACGTTCATCAACTTTAACTGTTATTTCTGTTCCGTTCTCAGGTTCCATCCTACTCTGTGACACGTCCACGGGCAACCTCCACCCCCTGGTTCCAGAGAAGATGAGAAGGTTGGTGTTCTCGTCGATTCACAATATCTCTCATCCTGGTGTACGTGCATCTAGAAGATTAATCTCAAGAAGTTTTGTGTGGGAAGGTTTGTCCAGGGATGTTAACTTATGGTCTCAAATCCTGCCTGGATTGTCAACAGAGCAAGATTCAAACCCACATCAGGTCTCCCATCCAACCTATACCTGTTCCTGGAAAGAGGTTTTATCATCTCCATGTAGATCTAGTTGGCCCCTTACCTCAATACTCTGGGTTTAATTTCTTGTTTACCATCGTGGACAGAACAAGTAGATGGCTGGAAGCAATACCTCTCCAATCCACAACAGCAGAGGAATGTGCCAAGGTTTTACTCCGATCCTGGATTCCAACATTTAGAGTTCCGTCTGTAATTACAATTCACAAGTTCTTGACTAATCTCTGCAAGTTCCTGTGGATTATTCACTCACCAACCATGTCCATCCACCCACAGTCTAATGGCCTGGTTGAGAGATTCCATCGCCGTCTCAAGGTATCCCTGAGAGCTAGATTGTCCGGAGTCCCCAGGAGCTCTGTTATTTCTGTATACGCCCTTGGACAGACAAGCAAACAACCTACCAGACAAACACACACTCTGAAACCAAAACACACACAGACAGAGAAAGACAGAGACAGACAGAACCAGGAAGAATTTGAATGTATGACAGTGCATGAAAGCTGAATGAAAGAAGAGAAGGGATTAACCAACAAAAGAATTAAAAATACAAATTCTAGTTTATATAAAGAACTAAAAAGAATAAAATAAATCAAGAAGAATATTCTTTGAAAATATATAAGGAGCATATACAGGGTTATTCAAGAAGGATGAGACTGTAAGGACGACCTGAAACTTTAGAAATTTGACGATCCCAAGATGAAATTAAGCTTTCTGCCTTGAATATAGTTTTTTTAATGATTTGGCATAGTTGACAGAATGTAACAAGTTTATGGGCACAGAAC